ATAATTCAAAAATTAAACGAAACTTACCTGTAAGTTGATGTTTGATTGTAATTCTATGAGACAATTATAGGTGAGGAGATGAAATGAGAATGCACAGTGCGCATGCGCGTCAGGTTTTTAAAGCATTTTTGCATGATTTCTACAGAAGTTTAATATTAAACTTCATTCCCTAATAATAGTCTGCATCAGTATTATCATAAGGTACACAATTAGGGAGGGTGGGAGAGGCATTTCATCTCCTCACCTATAATTGTCTCATAGAATTACAATCAAACATCAACTTACAGGTAAGTTTCGTTTAATTTTTGAATTCTATATCGAACAATTATATTGGTTCGTCATGAAATGAGACTTTAAAGCACAAATCATGCAAAAATAACAACGTAAAATCATGTTTAAATTCGAACAAGAAAACTTTATTGGTTATCAAACAGATAAGTACTAGCAGTTAATAAATGAACTGACTTAAGACCTTTGCTTATCCAATTCAAGTACAGCTTTCACTACTGTGTCATTTTTGACTATTTCTTTGTCATAAAATCTTGTAAATGTACTCTTATTTGACCAACCAGCATGTTTCATTATATCCGCAAGAGGGACATCCATCAGTTTAGCTTTAGAGGTTGTTGCTGCTCTCACACTATGAGCACCATACTTCACAGTATCTATTCCTGATCTTATTAAGACCACTTTAATCCACCGTGCAACAGTGTCCTTTGACACTGCTTTATGTGGTTTTCTGAAACTTATCAACAACCTGTTTTCTTTACTGTCTCTCAACATTTTAGTACGTTTCAAGTACTCTTTCATGACAGTGTACACACAGAGTCTCCTATCAGGAGGGTAAGCTCTTAAATGAACTTTGGAAAAATGAACTCCTGGTCTACTTTGCTTAATCAAACCATCACAACAGAAAACATATTCAGACGTTAACTTTTTAAAATTCTTAACAGTCAACAAGTGTACAGTCTGAATCCTGGCAGCATTTACTAATGCAATAAGCATAGCAAGTTTCAAAGTCAAGTCTTTCAAACTAATATTACGCACAGGTGACAATTTGCGCAAATAACATAAAACTTGATCAACATCCCAAATATCCATATATCTACTTGTAGATGGGCGTAGATTAAATACACCTTTCATAAAACGGATAACTTGTGGGTGCGATCCTGCTGTATACTGTTCCAGTAAAATTCCAAGTGATGACAGGGCACTCCTGGCTGTGTTCAAGGAACTATATCCTAAGCCCTTGTTATACAGTTCAGTCAAAAACTCAATAACATCATTTACAGAAACATAAAATGAATTAATACTCCGTTCGCAACAGAACTGAAACCATTTTGATAAATATGTCTTGTACTGACATTTAGTCTTTGCTCTCCATGATGCCATAAAAATGTTGATTGATTGTTCTGAAAATCCACGGTCTCTAAAAGACTTCCTGATAACTTGCATGCAATCAAGGTCATTTGATTGGATAGAGGATGAACTTTCTCTGAAAACTGCAGCATTAAAGTTTCTTCCACTGGTGGTAAAATCAAAGGAGCTTTCACCAGCATTTGCATCAACATTGGCCACCATATTTGTGTTGTCCACAGTGGTACCACCATAAGAGCTCTTGCTTTGTCTGTTTTTATTTTCTGCAGACACCTTGTTATAAGGCTGAAAGGAGGAAAAATATAACAAAGTTCAAAATTTTTCCAATTTAAACTGAATGCATCAATAAATGTGGCATCAGGATCTGGTGTCCAAGAACAAAATTGTTCTACTTTTTTGTTTATTCTTGTTGCAAATAAGTCAACTGTAGGCTGACCATAATGTTCACATATCTTAGTGAATATAACATTTTGTAATTCCCACTCAATATTATCGTTAAATCTTCGTGAAGGCTCATCTGCTTCATTTTGAATACCTGGTATATGTGAACATATAATCCAAATGTTATGTTTTATACACATATTCCAAATTTGTTTGCTGAGTTCATCACAACTTGGAGATTTAATTCCCCCAAAGTTATTTATGTATGCAACAGCAGTAGAGGAATCAGTTAATATTTTTATATATTTTCCCTCTATCTGTGACAAAAAGGACTTCAAAGCAAACAAAACAGCACGTAATTCTAGGACATTTATGTGACTTCTTGACTCAAAATTAGTCCATCTGCCACCTATTTTAATGTCATTCATGACTGCACCCCAGCCAAGCATACTGCTATCAGTCTGTATAGTAAGCTCGGGATTTTCTCTACGAATAACCCGTACCTGTGTTTCAATATTTTCTATCCACCACTGAAGTTCTGATTTCATATCAATTGTGATATGCATCTTAGCATTAAAATTGCATTTATTTAGTTTCAATGCATTTATTTTTGCCTTTTCCAGTACTCTGTAATGAAGTTTTCCTAACTCAACTGCTGAGAAGGAGGCAACTAAAAGTCCAATAACTTTAGCCACTTGTCTGATCGTTTCAAATTCACAACAATGCAATTTTAAACATGCATCCTTTATTTTATTCTTTCTTTCATTTGGTAAATATACCAACATCTTTTCAGAGTCAATTATATTCCCCAAGTAGGTAATCTGCCTAGATGGCAAGAGCATACTTTTTTCAAAATTTATCATAAATCCTAGCTTGGATAGCAGACTGATAGTAGCATGTGCATTTCTCACACAAAGCTCACTAGTCTCAGCACCTAACAGAGTATCATCAATGTATGAGGTGCTAATGTAACCTTTATTACGTAACCAAGCATACACAGGTTTCATTAACTTGGTAAAAAGGCGCGGACCTGGGCCAACCCCATTTGGCATTGCCCTGTACTGATATATTTGTCCTCTCCATTTAAAACAAAAATATTTTTGTTGTTCAACTGCCAGAGGTATTGAATAATATGCCATACGTATATCTACTGAACAAAAATACATATTTTTTGAAACAATATGCAGTGCACTTTCAAAATTTTCCATCTTAAAATGATGATATGGAAGAAACATGTTTAATTTCTTCAAATTTAGAATCATTCTAAATTCTCCATTTTTCTTCTTGGTTAAGAAAATAGGTGAAAGATACTGGTCAGTTTGATAGCTCACAGGCATAATAACTTTATCTCTGACCAATTTAGCTATTTCATTATCAATTACTTCACTCTCAAGTCTGTTAAAACTAGATTGAGAGAAACTATGTTGCATAGGCAGAGCACTTTCACTAAAATCAAAGTGGCAATGTTTCACTATGTCAAGAATATTTTCGTCATGTGTAATGGTTTCCCATTGAGAGGAAAAATATTTCAATCTACCTCCAACTTTATAATCTACTAGGGTACTTACCCTATTTATTTTGGGTCCTTGCGCCAAACTCCCTTTTTTGGCTCACTGCCACGGGTCGTCTGATACCCTGAGAACTTTTCAGTGTACCTGCCTTGCTGTTTTCCAGCATACTTGGCTTGCCCGGTATAAAAAGTCTTGTTTTTACCGAGTCTATAGTTTCCTTTATAGACCTCTCTTTTGCCTTGAATTTTATTGCCTATTTTGGCTGAGTATTCCAACTCTCTGGCCGTTTGTGAGACATCATCGCCAAACAGTTCAGTGGTAAATGGTACAGCAGGATTACACAAATGACTGTACTCCTTACTGATGACAGGCTTAATGCAATTTCTCCTGATCATACACATCTGTTGATTACAGTGTCCAAAGAGAGCCAATGCATCTTTGCATAAATCCAATACACTATTAGCTTCCCCTTGAATGTCATACTCTGACTCCGAGCCTGACTGAAAACCAGAAAAATCAAGTTCAGCGATCTTACTTGCTGCTTGTGCAATAAGTATGGAGCCTTTCACCAGAGAGGTGCCCACTGTCTGCAGCGTTCTGTCTGTGTGTCTGATTTGCGGTGTGCATAGCTTCCAAATTAGCTTATTGCAACGTACGGTGGTAAGTGCTTGGCAATTGTCTGGCCTAGCAATACTGTCAGTCAACTTTTCAAACTGAGTCTCCTCCAATCCCTGGCGAAACAAATCATTAATATTTGCTGCCAGTGTTTCATCCAAGGGAGGGCCCACAACGTCTTCCCCTTTAAACCGCTTGGCCATATCCGCAAATTTGCTTTGGGGATCTACCTCATTCTCAAGAGGTCGCTTAGCATCAGAACACCGACTATCGTTGTCAAAGTCGTAGTCAAAAGACGTGCCAGGTAAAACGTCCCTGTTCACAGTTTCTTCAATATCCGTTATCCTAGAGGATAACACGTCTAATTTGGCATCATTAGACGTCAGTTTTTCATTCAGACTTTGCAAGTATTCTAGAATCTTAGAATCTTGGTTAGTTGCGGTTTTCGCAGCAACACCAGTGGTCTTTACAACAGCACTAGTTGATTTCTTATTTCTAGCGACTTGTTTCTCTTTCAAGTCTTTCTCCGCTGTCTCATTTTTCTCCGACATGTTGGAGAAAAGATGTATTGTCANATCCACGAAACATAACTGAATCGACGACATGATTTTTTGCCCTTTTGGCCGCCCATAATAAACTCTGCTACCATGCCTTAATTTTTCATAAGCACATTCAGAGGTAATAAAGTACAATTCTTTAATTTCCGCGCTGGTTGCGAAATTTACAAAATTTCAACCGCGACGTCATCTCAGCGCTCGCGCTCCGTTCTGAATATCTTCCTACGCGCAGCCAGTTGCCATATGACTGATACACAGAAGAAAATTTTCTTCTGAACCACGCGCTTCTCGCCTCGTGCTACTGACGCGCATGCGCACTGTGCATTCTCATTTCATGACGAACCAATATAATTGTTCGATATAGAATCTAGACGCTAGGGGCTCTAATCCACCGTTGAAAGTTTCTGTGTTCGGTACGCGATTCCCGACTTGGGTTATTTGCGTGACAGACTTGTATCTTTATTGAGACTTTACTATAATTAAAGGAGATAAGATAAGAAAAGAGATTAACTTTAGATAAGAGCTATAAACTTCTATTGACACGTATTACGAGTCGCACGCTCAAGCCCGCGACTCAGATTGAATAAATTACTAGTCTGAACACTATGTACATATAATTTAAACTTCATATTGTAAGAATTCATCAACATTATGTAGAACAGCTTTATTTGTAAGTGTATATATATTGCAAGAATTTATATCTGTACACACGTACTTCATATTGAACATTACTATGAGACTTATACTGTGTAATATTCCATAATAAAATAACAACAGGATTAATTAATAATAAAATTATCATTGTCAGTAAATAGCCGTCTTAGAGTTATTCTCATATACGCCTTATTGGACACTGCAAGATCCCCGTTGGTTTTCTTGGAAGGGGAAGGGAGCCGAACTCAATTTTTTCTTCTAAATACCCCCTCCCCATCACTGCCTTCATGTGAACAGAAATTACTTCTGCCGTTATCAATGTGCAAGCTGCAAGATCCACGCTGTTTTTTTTTTTTCTTTTTACGTGGACGAAAGTTGCATTCATTTTCTTCTACCTACTCATCACTGGTTTCATGTGAACTGAAATTTGTTGTTGTTATCAATGTACAAGCTTTAGTTGACGAAAGAAATCCCAACTACCACATCGAGTTATTTCTTCTGATGACACTTTCTGCGCATGGAAGCTTCTTCGAAAACCTGTCACATTCGATTTTAAGCAAATTTCACTTACTACTTCTTTATAAAAAGTAAATAATTACATAATAATGACAAGCCGCGTAAATGATAATACAGGCTTGCAGATATTAACAGGAGAGGGAATGTATGCAAAACGTGTCGGGAGACGCTCTCACATTCCAATTTAAGTACCAGTCTCTGTAAGAATCAGAAAAATAACATGGGGGCATTGGAACATGACCCTCCCAGATTTTGTTTTCTTTTAATTTATTGTGAAGAACTATGCTAAAAACTAACAAATTGAGCCCGAAAAGTTGCATATTTAAAATAATTTATTTTTTAGAGCGTTTTATAGTAATGCCTGAATTTTTTCTCCCATATGCTTTTCTATATAAAATGTTCAGGTAACCCCATATTCACTGACAAATAACTCGTATGGCCGACGTAGTTATGTAAGATGGCTATACAAGATGTTTACAGCATATATTCAGGTACCAAAAAGTGAAATAAAATTTTTTTCAAAACATAAAATGATTAAATTACATTAAAAACAATCAACGCTAGAACTACTCGAAAAAGACCATCTGCGCATGCGCAGTAGCGGTGACTGCTAAACTACGAACTCAATCAGATGTAAATAAATTAAATTTAGGTTATTTATCTCATGAAATGGATATTTTTTGATGGATAAATGGCACTTGTCTTCTGGATCATTTATTGTTTGGATTGTTTTTATGCCGACTGGTGTGTAGTATTTGTTTCCGCACATCGTTTTTTTATATACAACATAACTAATTTCATCCAAGATGGCGGGAGCTCTGATTGCCGTCGGTTTCGTATGTGGAAGGAGAATGCACACAGTTATTTATTTACGGCATGATATGCAGTTTTTCATAAATTACCCACAAGAAAGGACTGGTAGAACTTTATGGTCGTAAGTAATCGGCACTACTAACTACGGATATCAAGAAAACTACCAGGTACACGTACCACTGAGAAAAACTCGTCTTCTCCCTCACGTGCATTTGCCGTTAATATCCGATATAATGGACAAATAAGTAAAGCACTGTCAGTTACTTTACTCTAAATTACAGTCAGTGTCAACTTTGATACAGGTTTTCTAATAAAGTTTTGATGTTCAACGTGAGTTTGTGTTTTACGGCTATTTACTGCTTGAGTATGGTCTACCTCCAATTTAAAACAGCGCCCTGTGAGGCCCGTCGTGCCCTCTCAGGTACTTGAAGTCGATAACAGAACAGATTACTTGAATACTTAATATATATAGTAGAAATTGGTACTCATACAAGTGGAAGAGTTTCTAGTTCTTCACAACCAGGATTCTAAATAAAAAAAACTTGTAAAACAAAATAGACATGTAAAAGATAGCTATATTCTTATATGGTGCCTTACATGCTACCTCAAGGCGCCTTACAATAATATAACTAAAATCATTAAAATCACTACTATATTTAAATCTGAAACACTTGGAAACCATTTAAAATTAACACTACTAAAAACATTATATATATATATATATATATATATATATATATATATATATATATAAACCTATGAGATATAGACAGATTTAAAAATGTGAATTTTAAGAAGGGATTTAAAACTGTCAAAGTCGTCTGCTTTTCTAATAAAATTTGGGAAGGCGTTCCATAATTTGAGGGCATAGATTATAAAAGCCCGATCACTTTACGAATTGCTTTATAAGCCTTGATAATCATGCTATTTGTATTAAAGACTCACCCAATCAAGTCCTGTTTAGTATAATGCTCCCACAGTTTTGATATCATAAAGTCTGTGTTATCCATAAATTTTACTCATATTTCTTTACTGAAAACTAGCAGGTGACTTAACTTTACTCTTTACATTAAAAATTGTAAATAGTAACTTAAATAGGGGAAATTATCATAATGATACTTTCTGCCTGATTGTTACATGCCAAATTAGTCCTCAGTGCTGAGGCAGATGTTGGACTCGTCAAAATGTATGATCATGCATGATTCTCGGGACAAAATGCATCAAATACTATCATGTTGAGGCACCCTTAACATTGATAACTGCTTTGCTTTGATATCACAACTTCTAATAGTGTAGCTTGTTACCAATGGACTTTACCTACAACAAATATTCTTACAAATAAGTTGTATACCAAAAGAAAATTAGCAAAATTAATAAATTATGAACATCTTAGGGCAAGGAGCATGAGGGAAAATATATATTGGTATTTTAAGTTTGTGACAAAAATGCTGAACACCATAATAAATATTTATATAATTTACTACTATGCAGAGGAGATGCCTCATTTGCTTTCAAATAAGTTAAAAACAAGTTTTATTTCACTGTGACTTGTTTAAAATATATTCATAGACAATTAAAAGAATGTTAATAAAAATGTTAACTAATCTGGGGTGGGGACAGTGGTAGAAAGTCCACAAGAGATGGAAACTGAAGCTGAGACTGGCAGGAGATATTTCTCAACTATTGGATGTCAACCAAAAGAATACCACCACATTGCTGTTATTGTATGACCCTGAAAGATTAACACCCATAGTCCCATTGTGAAAATTCATCATTTTAAAAGATCACAATATACTAGTATTTACCTGTGTGCTTTTGACTTAATCAAGTTATTTAGCAGGACACAAGTACAAGATTTGTATTTTAATCCATTTTTAAAGCAGAAATAGGGAAATATGGAAAATTTGCTATTTGGTTGATGTCATTTTGGATTGTGAATTTTAAAATTTGCATATTTTTTTTTAATGTTTGAAAAAATATTTTAAAAAATTAACTCAAAACATTCACTTATAATGTATGACAATATTAGGTGGCTTTGGCCAGTCTATGAAAAATGTATTTGAAAATGGCAAATTTGGGCATTTTAGCTAAAATGTGAAATTTTTGAAATCTGCCATTTTAAAGAGTTTTTTTTTCCTAATTTTTTAGGACTGTTTAAAATATTAAGTAATATGCTCTTGACTAAATCAAGATATAATATTTAGCAGGATACAAAAATGAAATGTGTGTTTTTATCCATGCTTGTTTAGAATAAAGCAGAAATAGGGACATTTTGCCATTTGATTGCCGCCATCTTGGATTAAGAATTTTAAAATTTTAATAACTTTTTGAAAACTGTGTTTGAAAAAAAATTTTATTTTTAATTATAAAAGGACAGTACATGTACTTTCTTATGTAATGTATGGTGATAATAGATGGCTTTGGCCAGTCTATGAAAAGTATATTTTAAAATGGCAAATTTGGGCATTTTAGCAAAAATTTGAATTTTTGAAAATTCCCCATTTTCAAAGTTATTTTTCTAATTTTTAAAGGCCACCAAAAACATTTATTTATATGTTTTTAGTTCAAATAGGATATGATATTAAACAATGTCTGAAAATGAAAAATGATTATTTATCCACATTTATGGCTTTTTAGCTCAAATATAGCTGAAATTTAAATTTTGCAATCTGGATTCCGCCATCTTGGGTGAAAAATTTTAAGTGCTGTTACCATGGCAACCGAGGGTGATTCAAACAAACAAATATCCATTATGTTGGTTTGGGGCTATAATGAACAAATACACCAATTTTCATCAAAATCTGAGAGGGTCATGTGCCACCCTATTCTGAACCTTACAGAGACTGCTACTTAAAACGACCAAACGAGTAACAGGGAAATCCAGAACTCTGTTTATTGGTTAGTTTTAAATTTATCAAAAAAAAAGGTAATGCGGCTACCAGTCGGTAGCACAAAATTTAAATATTTGACTGAAGTTGCCACTTTTTTTTTAACACCACCTACACATAAGGATCATTCCA